CACTGTGCTTTTGAAACTTTATTATGCATTAATTCTTTTGTTTGTCTTTAATCATCTATTAATTTCTTTTTTTTGTACTGCTACCATAGCAAACTACGTACGCAATTGGCACATTCTCTAGGAAAGCTTGGCGGTCACTTTGCTGCCTCATAATTTATTTATAAACGGCTCATCGTCCCGCTTCCTTATTTTTATTCCTAATTTAAATCAAAAGACTTCTAGTTGGGGAAGTTATATAGGCAAAGTCAACAAAACTAGTTTCCTTCTCTTCGTACTTCGCATCTGAAAAGAGCCATGTCGATACTCTAAGTCATTTAACAGGAAAAGCCAGCATTGACACAAAAATAAGGAACTAATAGACTACTTGAAAACCGGACCAACTGAGACCCTCGCTGCAAAGAATCTCGATAGTTATTTTGAGACATTAAAAATCATTAGTTTTTGGATAACTGCTTAGCCGAAGCAATTACAGGTGGCCTAATTTGGTGTGAAAATTCCTTTACAGCGAAACCAAAATCACAATGATGAGATCAACTAGCAACTTATAAAAATGTTGACTTTAGTCCGAATCGACTGGTGTTTACCTAACTTATTTTTGGAAAACTGCGGGTTTTTTGATATCTTTAAGTTTCCCCAGGACTATACCTACCTGTTTTTCCTTGTTTGCAGCCATCGCCAAGATATTCGCTAAAATGTGACCTCACGCTAGAAAGCCGTCTGCCTCTACACTCTTTCCAGATCCAGCACTTTCACCAGGCACTTGCGAAAAATTGATATCACACTGCACTCACCATAAAAATGTCCCTCAACTCCTCTTCTTCGCGTTCTAAGGGCCTCTGAATTAAAAAACAGCCTAGTAAATAACGTTAAAAAACGGTGCAGTTACGTACCATCAGAAACTAACTTCCAAAAATGAATTTTGTTACACCTAAACTGCTCACTCAAACATCTCATCAAGCTGCGTAGAAAACACTCCCTTGCATATACTGTGAAAAAAACTATATTTCTGAACAAAACAATAGTTACATATCACATATTAACAACCAAAAATTTTTCTTTTTACAGTCCCTTGGAAAAAAACAGTTGTTGTCCGAAAAACCGCAAGAACGTCAGTAAATGCTTAAGTGATCCACAATTTTCCAAAATCACAGGGAAAGGAAAATTAGCCTGTGTACTGTCGTACACAAAAACTACTTTATTTCTGGCACTATTGCACTTCAATGGAACAATTTACTCGGAGTTGTTTGCATTCCCCTATTTTTCTTTTTAACTGACAATAAATCTCTTATACTCTCTGAAATATTATTTCAAAAAAGCTTCAATATTGAAACCACGCGAAATGACTTAATATAGTGCCGATAAATCACAAATGAGCAAATCGCACTAAAAAATCAATAATTCGAAAAAAGAAGTTATGCAGCCTGAAAACGAAAAAACGTGGGTAAATTAGCATAGAGATGTAAATAAAAGAGTAGACAAATAAAAAATTATTTGAGGATTCCCAAACACGTGAGACACGTGGAAATCAAAATAAAGCTGAGTGTTTCGTTTAGGAAATGCCAAAACCACAAAAAAGCACAGCCATGCCAAGTTAAACATGTACAAAAAGAAAAAGAAAACAATACGTGCAAGGAAAAAACTAAAGAAAACCCGTTGTGAACAAACAGGAGTAATCATGATATAGCAGAATACAACAAATTTTAAAAAAACTTCGCAACGATAAGCCAATGAAAGGCAAAATATTTGTCTTCCTGCAGGACCTTCCAAGTGAAAACCTGAGGAATTAAGTTACTGCCTACGAATATAGTATTTATATAACATTAAAAATGAAAAGAAGCTAAAAAGTTGAAAGTGACATCAAAAGCTCCCCTTAGCGCTAATTGGTTTCGAAGTTATCGACTGCAGTTGAGCGTTCTCCTTCCTGTAAAATGCATCTAATTCATCCAGCTCTTTAGCAAATCCAGCTTCAAGTTCCTGAAAATTAAATTATTAACTGTCAAAAAAATACAGTAAATAACTCACTTAAAACTAACTAATCGTTCGCACAAATCTATAAGCAGGCCTACCCTTGCTTCATCAAAACAACTTGAAGCGAAAAATAAAAAGAAACCACCCACAAGGAATTGTTTAGCTTTTGCAAACAATCAATGATAAAAATTAAACTAATACGACTGAAAGTGGAGCAAAAATGACAGGAGAACCTCGTCTCAAAGAGCACCTTTCCAGAAACCACAGCAATTCTCAGGTAAATGCCAAAAAGACCAAGTACACTTATTTTTAAATGCCCTCAGAATAACGCAGACTTAAAAGTCTAAAAACAAAGAAGAGTTAGGTATTCTGATTAAATATTTTAAATCTTGGAATAGTGAAATCCCGAAGGTATACGATACTACTTCAGTTGAAGCTGTAATATTGTTACAAAATGTTTACGTAGACTAAAGCTAAGAAGAACAAGCAGAACTTTCGCAAAAACAAAATCTTGAACTAATAAAAACTTATCTTTTCTCATCTCATAAAATTTCATGGACCAATAATACCCTTCCAACCTCTGTGCCGAATGTAAAATATAATTCATGAAACAGTTAAGCCTTTCACGAAGATAATTCGCAATTTTACTCTACAATAAAAAATGAAAGATTCTAAATGTTCTCTGACACTCAATGTCTAAACCTCAGCCATGTAAGAGTTTAACGCCACAAATTTGCTAGAATAAGCAAAGCTCAGGTTCTCCAATAGTTTTTGGTAATCTGTAATCTTGCTAATCCATGCTAGCTCCCGTGTCTAACACCACTGATGTTTGAGAAACAGCCCTGTCATAAATACATTTGTGTAATTGACTGTATTTCACCCCCAAAAAAAGAAGAAAAAGTCCAACCTGTATCATAAACATTCCTACTTTCGAAAAATTTTAGATCCAATGAAAAGTTTCATATTGCTATATCAAAAAATTGTAGGGTAGTGATGATCGGTCTTCATCTGTGTCATTTCACAACTTTTAATTTACCCGACAATATAATAAATGATGAAGCCTTAGCCAAAAATCCAAATCTTCCCGAAAAAGTCGTGACAGACACCTGTTTTTTATTGTATCTTACCATTAAAAAAAATTCTACCTTATTGCATCTTGTAAATATTTTGAATCCTACAAAAAGCTTCTAACTTAATGTAACAAAAAAAAAAAAAAAAAAAAAAAAAAAAAA